ATGTTCATTCCCTACCTTGCTAGTTTGCTTCCAAAGGTTATTGAAAATGTACCTGCAGTTCTGCAGTTAGTGAAATGCAAGAAGGTGCCACAAACCTTCCAAGGGCTCCAGCCATCCGAATCACATGCCATGTGACTGCTTGTATATTCAGAGCTGCTTTGCTGAAGCAAATAGTAGTACAATGTAATTAAAAACAGCAGATATTAGCTACCACTTTCAGATTTGTACAGCTCCTGAACTCCATCATCATTTAAATGAGCACAGAAACATTTCCTTTACAGCTGCTGTACTTAGAACTCCAGACTTTCAGTATATACATGCAACAACTGTGATCTCCTGTATCTGCAGTATAATTTTTGTTCTTGGACCGTTTGTGCAACTGCTCACAAAGTCTTCATTTGATTCATAATTTTCATATTTTCCTTTTGACTAAATCCTGTTTTTCTTGAGTATTCATAGCATATATTTATGATAACATCTGTCTCTTTCTGCATTTTTTCAGCCTCTTCACCTAATAATCAGCACTGCTTCAGATTATTTCCTTCCTCCCTTTCATATGCTCTTCACAGCCTATTTTACCACAGTGGCTCAAGGGAGTCAGCATCTCCCAGCCAGGCCATGCAGACAAGTGGGTTTAGGGGAATCTCTCTGCACAAATTCTGAAATTGAATGCAGCTAGTAGTTTCATAATGAAATGATGATTAACATGTGGCTTCTTGTCTCTCAAAACAAGCACAGCAATGCCTGCAGGCACTATGATCTATGTTCACTCCATTCTGATACTGAAAAGCAGGGCTTGGGTGCTCAGAAACATCCATTGTAATACACTCTCGAGGCATCATGCCACAGAAAGTGTCACTAAACTGATATGTCTGCCAAATAAAATGGCAGAGAGTTAAAAAAATACATAAAGTATATTTATCACTCAAATAAATATTTCCTTAACTGATTAACTAATGCAGTCATAAGAAAGCCTTCATGAGACAGCTATCCCATAAAGACTTTTTCTCCTTCTTGGGATTCCAGTCTTTTTCAACACTGAATACCTAGAAGATTATATTAAGACTTCTATAACTGGTTAGAACTTGTGCAGGGTGCTGTGTCTTATTTATGTACATGTGAGGGGGTTTTCTGAAGAAACAGTTCCAGTTGAGGGAAGTTCAATGCTGTTACTCTGGCATAAGAGACTAGTCCAAAATCATAAACACTTTGAAAGGATAAAATTATGCAAGTACAAAGCACTCTGTAAACATCTTTTAATTCCTCAAATGTTCCTGTGCCAGTTTCCCCTCCCTGCTTTATAAACCAGTCTGTCCAAGGCCACACAACAAGTCAATAGCTGAGCCAAAACAGACTTCAGATGCTTGAATTCCAGTTCTGAAGCCCCAACATTTCTCTGCTTTTTTATACTTCACCTCTCTTTCTACACTGTAACTGCTACTCAAATCCCTCTTTTTACTGAAAAATATGAAAAGAAAGGTTACTGGCACCTTTTGACACCTATGCCTCGCAAGTCCAGCCTTGGGCTGCCCAGAAGCTTTGCAGAACCCAGTGCTTAACGGTTTTGCAGTCCCCATAAAGTAACCCCATCAGACATGAGATATTAGTTTCTATTGTCGTAGCCCATACTGGCATGTGAATTCATATAAATTCCAGCCCCTTAGCAACAATTTTGTCTGTGGACTTGCTGGGAGATGAGCAATCTTAGGAAGAACAGACTCCCAAGAACACAAGTAAGCAGTAAAACTAACAAAGCTGCCAAAAAGGCAAATGTAGCATTTCCCAAGTTGGAGAGATGTCTAGGTTCACAGTCATGCTGCTATCTTCAAAGACGAAGTCACTTGACTGTTTCTATTCCTTCATCAGGAGTAGGAAGCAACAGCTTCCTTTCCTCCCAGTCCAGCAGTGACATCTCCATGCCCATTCCGCTGCTGAGGAATTCTGCTTTCCTAATTGATCACCAGCCAAGACTGCTCAGTTGCAAGTGAGGTTGATTCAAACCTTCAGATAAACAGTCTCAAGTTCCTGCATTCCTGAATCTGAGTTAGATTCCTCTAGTAGCATTGCTCACTAGGGCTAGCTACTGTCTCTAGATCCCAAATAGTATTTGAACTAAGCTCTCTTGAAAGGATGTCAGTGTTGAGATATGCCATTAGTCCAAATAGTGGTGAGCAATTTCCGGCTTTGAGTCTTTAGTAACAGGTAAGGCTGTATATTTCTTGTCTGTATTTATAATACATAATTTTTCTTTAATATCCTTTGTTCTATTTCATTCATCAATGACGCATATTTTGATAAATGAAAAGCATTAATGTGTTGCCTTTTGATGAAGTAGCTGGTATATCTAGTTTCAGTTTAGCCTGACTCCTTTAATTCTGACCGCAGATGCACAGAAATAAAGAGGATGATTGGTTTTTTACATTTGGAAGGCCCACATGCTCTATCATTCCCTAGCATATTTGCTGCATTTTCTTCCTCCACTGTTCTTCCACCTTTTTCCTCAAAGTGTTTATCTAAAGTACACTTATTGCACATCTCAGGTAGCCCAGGGGAAATCTGTTTGCATTCCTTCTATGGTCTCAAGCTAGAAAGAACTTTTCAACATGTGCCTATCCCATAGGCATGAGTAGGACGTTTTCTTAGCGGAAACTTTTTACAGAGCAGAGAACCTACTGTGTTTGATGTGTTAGAAAGGCATGTGGATGAGGCACTTGGGGATATGGTTTAGTAGTGAACAAGGTGGTGCTGGGATAATGGTTGGACTCGATGATTTTAGAGGTCTTATCCAACCATAATGATTCCATGATTTTATGAAAATAGTGTGGCCAGTGCTGGAGGTTAGAAGTGGGCATTCAGTCAGAGATGGATTTGTCCAAAGCTTTCTGAAAGACTTACAAGGGAAAGAAAATGCAAGGCAAGTGTGCTGGCAGGAGCTTCTTCAGTAGCATTTACACTAGTAGGTTAGAGATTTTAGCTTGTGTTTCAAAAGAGACTGTTCGAAGCAGGGAGTTTCAAAGGCCATTGGAGCTGGTTGTCAGAGGTCAGTAAAATGAAGCCTTGGTGTTATCATCAAAGGTGTTCTGAAGATTTTTTAACCTCATTTTAAAAATTCATGACCTTTGTGGCACTGTATTGTGGCAGTTGACTGAGTGGGCTATGAGAATAATGTCTGTGAGTCTGTTCAAATACATACAGATTGTGAGGTTTTTCAAAAATTCTTTGTGCTTCTTTTCTCCCTGCTTCCATTTGCCTGTGAGTAAAGCACTTGATGATTAGCAACTGCAGAATACATTTATCTGAAGGAGAAAAGTTAGTCTTTGAAAGATATGGTGGTGATGCACCCTACAGAAACACAAACCGGACTTAGACATGTGTATCTATCTCATATGGAAAACTTATGCACCTACATCACTGCTATAGCTTTATCAGTTCCTGGAACTAAAGCAAAAGCAAGCCTTTTGGACAAGATGAGATTTAAATTTTTTTAGAAAAATGTATTTATTCCGAAATAATGTTTTTTATTACGTATTTGAGATAATTTAGTTCAAATTAAAAAGCTCTTCAAGAGTAGCATGACACAGGAGTCACATCCAGTGTTAATGCTGAAAGAGCATGGGCAACCAAGTCCATTTAATAAGAAAAATGGAAACTTCACACAGTTTAAATACCTTCTTATCGTCTGTTATTGAATGACTGACGAAAGCAAGGGAAGTTTCTCACTATCATTGAAACTAAATGGAGGATTCATACATGTGTTAATACTTTGTTCAGGTATGAGAAGTGTTTAGGTATAAATTATTCAGGAAAGGTTGTTTCCTGACAAAGAACTTGGCTTTTTGTGTTCAAAATGTCATAACCAATCATAACAGATACCACCTGTATGCAGAAGAAGGATACATTGCTGAAAATTTAATTTGTTGCTATCAATCTACTGGAGAAGGTTGTTCAAAATTATAGTTCTGAAGGTGAAAGAAAATGTAAAATCCCAGCAGTTTTGGTGCCTTGGCCGTGCATAAGTACAGTTCTTCAAAAAGGTCATATCCAAACTTTGTAGAACACAGAAACGTTGAATATTTTCTCAGGTGACTGTGAGGACCTAAAAAATGTTACCAGCAAATCTTCAGCATTTCTTCCAGCAGATATATCTCAGGCTACGTCAAAATCATTCACACTCTTCTTGAAATAATACAGGACATAACATCTAAGTTTTATTTCAACTTTAACATAGTCTTTTACTGCACTTGCATGAAAGGCTGGGTTTGCACTGAAGTCAGCTGAAATGTAAGATGTCATGAGCATTTTCAGAAGTGCAGCACAGGCACTCAAGCTGTGCAAAAGGCACTGGTGGCCAAAACAAGCATATGAGACACAGTTCACAAAGTACCTCAAGTGCTCACGTGCCCAGGGCCCCTCCTGCCCTGGAGAAACCATGTCAATGTTCTACCAGCCCAGCTGAAAGCCATCCTGAGCCCATGGATTAAAGAGCTTCCATCAGTTGTTGGGGAAGCAGGATTCAGTGGAATTCACCTTAGAATTTTAAAGGGGTAGAAAGTGATTAACATTAGAAAGTGATTAATCTTAGCATAAGCTCCTAACATACTCAGACACCAGCTGGATGCAGCCATCTGCATGGAGGCTGGCAACAGCTGCTCCTACAGCCTGTCAGAGGTCTGTCAGAGCCCGCAGAGGAGCCTGTGAAAATCAGGAGTATAGGCTGAAGTGCTTCTTTCCTTTGCTATTTCTCTATAAGGAGAAAGAAACTTATTGTACCTTGTAAGGGAAGGAGGGATGCTAAGTATCTCACACTCTAAGCCTCGATGAGCAGTTAAAAAAAAAACAAACCAAGGGTACTTTATAAAACAGCTTGAGCTGTAACAGAGGAAGGAATGAATTTGATATCCCATGGGTAACTCCTGAAATGAGTTACCATAGGCTCACATCCATCTTCCAAAAAACTCAGACTACTGACCATGAACTGGAAGACCTTTTTTGTTGTTCTTCTTCTGTTAAATTTATTCTTTAAGTCACCTTCTTGAAAATTACATATATCAGGGTGCAATAAGGATTCTGGATAACTCTTTGGAATGTCATCATTGTTCCCTGTCTCTGAGGAAATTACAATGTCTGATTTTGCTTTTGGTTTCCAAGTGGACTTATTTAAATGAATCATTGAACATAGAGTCTTATATTCCTCACATCATATCCATCCAGGTACCTCAGCAGGCTCCATGGACTTTGGTCTCAATGGTATGTTTGTTTAATACGGATGAGAGTGAGTTTTATTCCTTGTCTCCAATAAGAGCCATTCTTCAACAATGTGTCCAAAAATTCACACTCTAGACATGCTCTTTGCCCTCACATATTTAACTTTCACAGTAATATTACCCATGTAAATAAGTTACGTTTCCAAGTACATGGCATAAATATTCCAATGAGAACAGTCTAATATGATTTCCAAATGACCTTCACCATTTTTAAAGGCTACAAAACCTTCTTGTGTTTTAGGGATTTAAAATAAAAAAGGTCATCATCTCCATTGCCTTGTCTCTGCAGATAAAGACTACCGGTATATACTTGTACAACGGGTGCATGTTTGCTATAGGAAGTGTGGTAGAAATTCCTTAATTTCCTCTCAAGGAGGGTGTCAGAGGCCCAGCACAGGCACCCAGAGCACCTGTGCAATCTTCACACAGAAGGTGTCAGACTCAGCCAGACTCGCTGAGGTGTAATGGCATGACCTACTCTTTGTATGAGAGATTGAACTAGGGAGTGTCAGAGATCTCTCCCGAGTCTTTAAGATTTGGTGGTTTTTCAGTATTAATTGCAGCTTTTTCTCAAGCATGTCCTTTACAGCTATGAAAGGTGCCCATCATAATGACAGCCTCATGCAACAATAATATTTAGAGATGGGGAAAAACTCATTCTCACAGTCTAAAGACAGAAAGGCAAGACATTAAATGAACTCTTCCCTTCTTTCTATCTTCTGCTTTTAAAATGGATTTGTTTCCCTAAAGGAGAAGAAAAATCTGCAAGTGAGACATGGCCAAATTCTTCCTAGACTCCTTCTGCCCTAACTTCCTGAGTAACTTTCTGAGAAGAAAAACAGTGAAATGCTTCCTTACTTGGCAAGCTCTTCTCATCATTTTCCTTAAGCAGTACACATACCCACAGTGCCTCCTCCTCCTTTCAACTGGAAATCTCAACAGAAAATAAGGCAGGAAATCATGATTCTGACAAGTAACCTGGACTACTCTTTGTCTTCAAATGTTTCTCTGTCCTTGTTCAGAAGAGATGTGGCTGAGTAGACCCCACACGGCAAGCACCTCCAGGCCCTGCAAGGAGACTCTGCTCTCAAACAAGAGGGATCATCTGTTTTAAACAGCAGTTATATTTTTTAATTCTCCTCTGCAGTACTGTTTTAATCAAGCTATTTTCAAAAGGCTTCTTTTACTTTCTTTGACAGTCAATAAATTTCTTCAAATGAGCAAACCACCTCATAGAGACAATGTTTTTCAACTGGATTAACCCAAATTAAGCATTTAACTCACAAAGAGGCATTGAAGAAAATCACCCTGTTTTCTGAAGAGCTCTGAGGAACTTAACCCATATAGGACAAAAGAAATTCATGAAACAAAGCTTTTTATTTAAGTGCTCCATTTTCAGAATTTGAGTCCTTAAGTTTGGGCTTGTATTTTTCCTTACATTAAAAGCAATCTAAAGTGTCAAGAGATGTTGCACACTGGCTAATGTAAAGCCGTCCAGATCAATTTGTCCTGCTGTACCATATGACGACACATTTTAGCAATCTTGTGGGTTTTGTTTGTTAAAAGCTGTTTATAATTATATCTAAAATAACAAAATTAATCCTCAAAGCTCTTTGCTTTAAAAAAATACTACAAATCATTATCCTGTATTAGTACAAACCAAATTTTGCTGCCCATAGTAGAAGTTCTGGGTTGCATAAAGAGTTGCTGTCCCCATGAGCGCTATGAGTACAGCTGACCTAGTGGGGAGCTGCAGCAGTTAGAAACAGTGAGCCCTGCATGTGCTCTGGCCACTGCATTGTCTCATCATCCAACAGTAAGGTAATTTAAGCCCTCTGTTTTATTCCTGTCTTTCTGTAGAGGAACCCTTAACTCTAGATTCATCTGCCAGACAGAAGCTTCACTGATTGACATGCAACTCTGAAAAGGTGGGCTTCGCTCACTTCCAGCTGACTAAGTTCTCTGCTAAGATCTAGCTGATGCAAAGCTGTTTCCTTGAGGAATACAATTCAATTTGGCCAAATAGCATTCAAAAGTGTTGGGCATCCTTGAAGGGCCAGTAGCCTAGCTCAGTAAAGCACTTAAGTACAGGTTTGGGAAGCACATGCCACAATGCATACCCCACCATCTGCTCAGTGTCTGCAGGCTGGTGGCAGAGCAAGCAGGTGGGATTTACACAGTAAGGCAGCTGCTCCCACTCACTTCCCAGGAAGTGAGCTCAGAGCCTTACTCAGAAATTATTTAAGGTTCAACTTCAGCCCTTTCCAACACAGCCATCAGCAGGTATGGAAACACCAGCCCCCTTGATGAATCTCCGTGGGAGGCAGCCCTCAGCAGAGGGAAGACTGGCAGCAAAAGACAGCACGTGTCTGAGCAAGCTACTCTTACCAGAGTCCATCAGTGGTGAAGCCAACTGCTGACATTACTGAAACAGGTCTTGTGCCGCACTAAGGCTCTCAATTGCTGAACTGCATCACAAAAGGAAAACAGGGGTCCCAAGGAACTAAGCACTAAAAATCCACATAAGAAACCAATTAATTATTATTATTTTTAATTTTGTGGGTTTTTTTGGTTTTAGGACATGAAAAGAAAATACTATGGCTTATTAATTTTAGATGTGAATCTAAATTTAAACGTCACATTAAAGGAACAGATCTGTGAGAACACACTGACCTGCCACACATTATTGCATTTAATAAATCCATATGCACAGCCACCTCTGGTTGTTACTTCAGGCTGGGATTTGCCTTTGCAGCTAAGATAGTACTTTTAACTCTTTTCTCCCTGGAAATTACCTCATATTAAAAATATTTGAAAAGTTAAAAGTGCAATCAGCAGAGTTGTATCAAAAAAAGCATAAGCAAAAGGAAAAAAATAAATTAAATGCTCTTTTTTGGTATGAAGGAAGTCCTCCAGGATTTTTCTCATTGAAGAAAAAGGAGGGAGATCAGCAGTAGAGGAGGATGTTGATATCGAATTTAACATGGACCAGTGTCACAGTGTGTTGTTGTCCTCCTCATCCTCCTCCCTCCAGCCTGACTCAACAAGGGCAGCTGCTAATCATTCCATTTTTAGAACAATGCAAACCTTTCTCTGTTTACTAATCCATCACATCAGCAGTATCAGCTGATGTGTGGCCCTTTCTCCTACAACTGCAAACCCCATCAGTCTCTGCCAGCATGCCTGATCCTGTATAGGTCTCCTGCCCAAAATTCAGTGCCTTGAAAGGTTTGTGGGGTAAGCAAAACACTGCCCCTTGAACAGTGCCTCATGAGAACTTAGGCAGCCTGAATTTTAGTTTGTTTTCTTTAAAAGGCAGTTTAGTAGAATAGAACTCAGATTTACAGGACAAAGGGATAGAAAAAACCGTACTAACACCGTCATTAATCTCACTGCAGTGGTGGAAAGAAATTCCATTTGTGTTCCTAGGGAGGGTCTTTGCTTTATGGTCCAGCAAATGCTGCGTGCTACAAGGCTGTTTGAACTTGTGCCAAATTCAATAGAGACCCACAGCAGTGGAAAACAAAGTCATTTAATTCTACAATTAACTAAACTTCTACTACAAATTGTAGGTATACACACTACAATTAAATCCACAGCTTTGGCACTTAGCCGCTGTATAAATTTGAATCCACCTAAATATTTTATATTTGGTAACATGCAAAGAAGGAAGAGCTGTAGAGTCCAGCAAAAATAGTTTTTGTTTGGTCTTCATTCATCTTAAGACTCTTTTGCACCATTTTGGTAATACAAAGGGCTAAGTACTGATATAAATATGCAAGAAAGGACAACCTAATGAAACTGAAGAAGGTACACTTAACACAAGCTGCATGCAACAGTATAATATGAAAAGGGCAGATCCAGTACTGGTTTAAAAAAACCAGTCAAACAAAACAAAAAGCAAACAAACAAAAAACCCCAAACCCTCAAACAACACTACAACACTCTCCATCTGACAAAAGGAGATTTATATACAAGGCCTCACATCCATTTGTTTGGTCCTGAGAAATTGTGGGACACCCTGAATTAGCTCTTATATAACGCATAGCATAAAACACAGCACATAATTCACTCACACAACACCTTAAAAGCATTTGAATTTTTAAATCCTGTGTCATATCAATAACATAAGAGGCATTTAACCTTTACAAAGAACAAAATGTACATTTTAAATTAAATTTACTTTTATTCAGATATAATAGCCTCTTTCCTATGTCCAGAATATGGATTGTTCCTCCCTCATCCATCTCATTCACTTACCCCCAAGGAGAAGATGAGTGACTCTCCAGGCAGCAAATGTCTCCTCTTGTGCTTCCTAATAGCTTGCTCAGAAGCTGAACTAATGCTCCTGCTGTACACATGCAAGGACATGGGCTGTAGACACATGCCTGCACATACATAGGGTAGTGCAAAGCAGTTGGAAGCTGCTTCTGCATCTTTTGCAAACCCTAGAGGAAATCGTCTTGAAAGTTGGATATGGCCTTTGCTACTGATGGGGATGATTACTCAGCTTTAGGGACAGCATACTGCATATTGCTGCAAGTTGACTTGCACCATGGTGTGTACCAAAGGGCTTTTAGTATTGCTATAAACAAAAGCAACCCAACCAGGAATATGTGCGAAAGTGTTTGAGAGTTGAATTATATCAGCTGTGAGGTGGGACACAGTAGCAGTAGTTAGAAACAAAACAATCTCAGGAGGCAGCTTAATAATGTAATCAGCTTCTGCTTTAGATCAGAGTTGGTACTAACCTCACCAATCTGTGAAGCAGAGTCAGATTTTCTATTTGAGTTCAGCTTTATCCAGTAAACCAAAGGAAAGAGGAGTACAGAGGATGTAGACATAAGAAATTCTGGCACCTGCTTTGGAAGAAACAAAGCAAAATTATGTTATCTGAGAAACTTCCTACAGCATGATTTTTGCAAGACAGTCATATTCAGCTATTGGCAATACAGAGCACTACCCCATTACCTTAGAACAAAAATACTGCTGACACAATTGCACCTTTACAGTTCAAATTGCTGTGCTAACAAGTGAAAAATAAGAAATAATGCATTGAAAAAGTGGCGTAAAAGGTCATAACCATAATGTAGAGGGTGATGCAGTATAGAAGGTGTTTGCAAATGTGGCATTGTATGTACAAACACGGTACTACCTACTGAGGAGTTCACGGAGTAGAGTTTACCCCAATATCCTTAAGGTATGTAGAAACTGTGCAATGCAGGACCTATCTCCTTGTCAGGTCAGGCTGCATGTATGACAGAAAATACCATGCTGTCCCCCAGTCTGCAGCATGAGGGAGGAGGAAGGAGGGAGGCTACACACCCAGCCTTGCCCTACAACTGCAGGGAAAGGTGTCTAGCACACACAACCAGACTCAGAAGCTCAGGGGCAGGCACGAGGCTCACAGGCTGAGAATCAGATTAAAATCTGTCTGCTAAAAGCCTCTTCAGATAATCTTGCACAGAGCCTGGTACCCATGGGGAGTAAGGAGGGAACTCCTCAGTGACCATAGGAGGACATCCATTCCTGGCATGGGGAAGTGATCTCAATACTATACTTGTTATGCAGAGAAAGTGAAGGCAGCCCTGGACAGTCACACTAAATACAAAATGTCTTTCTCGAGTCTCCTTTTAAAAAAGTTTCATTGTTCTTTAAGGAGAGGGGGAAAAAAAAAGAAAAAAAATAAAAAAAAGCTTTGCGGACTGGTGTAGGGCATTCTGCAGCTGAAAAGTCTCCTTCATTACTGGCAAATACACATTATACCTCCACAAATGGAGGCATTTTCCCAAAACCCAAAGGCAAGAAAAGTCTGCCTCTTCTAGCCAACAAGGAGATGAAGTATGCATGGGTTTAGGATTTACAACTGATCAGCATTTTTTAAAGGAAACAGAAGCGTTTAACATGAGCTTCATTTAAACAAGAAACAAAAGCAAGATTAAAACTGAAATTAAATTCAGTGACACAAAAGGACTGAGTCTGGGCTGTGATACACAAGTATAAACAACGTGATTCTTAACAATGCACAATTCATGTTTCCTTTCTGGAAAAAAATGTTTACTTTCTTTTTTAAAATCGGTATTTGTAGGAACATATTGTCTCAGTAAAGAACATTTGTTACTTTTCTCTTTCCCCCACTCCCTTCCCACCCAGTTACGTGCTTATAAAGAGAAAGTGATTACAGCAAATTCAGTGCCCGGACACTTGAGAAGATGTTGCAGTGAACACAGACCACCCACTGACTTCATCTGCTTTGTTTTTGTACTCCAGAATTTTTACAAATTTTCCAAGCCATCAGCCTTTTCTTTTCTTTTTTAATTGTTAAATATGAAAAGGCAAAATGCAAGGGCAGGTCAAGGACAATTTCTTAGATGCCAAAAAATCCAAGACATCACGCCACACATTGCCTTTCCCCTCAATTGGTGTGTCATCAGTCATAGCATCCTTCTTTCTTTTCCTCACATTGTACCTCCAAGATCCAAACCGGCTTCCCACTTAGTTTGCTATCACAAGGCTGCTACACATGGACCACTGTAGTTTGCCTTTCTCAAATGGAGCTTACCTATATTAAAAGTAAACTACAAAGGTAAAACAGAAGTTTAATTAGCCCAGAAACAGATCCATTTTAATGTGATTCCATGGGTCAAAGCCTTTATAGAGCTTTCTCCCCATGGTCCACAAATTCTCTAATATTTCCTGATTTGGCACAACAGCTTGCAAAGCATAGTTTGATGTGGGTGCTATCACACAGAGCTATGTTCTTGGATAGGTAGGCAAATGGAAACTTACTTGTGACAGGAACGACAGAAAGAGACAGCTTAAACTATATTTCACTGTCGAAAAAAAATCTACCTAGACATGCTTGCTAGTTGTCATACTAGCTTTGCTGTTTGCTTCCAAAGGTCACTTTCTTCCCGTTGTAGAGCCTTCTGACACATATCTGTCCGGTCTAGCTTTTTTTGCCAGATAGTTTTTGTCAGATTAGTTTAATTATTAACCCAAATCACAGAAACAACCCCACCACAAAATCCTTTTCTTTTACTTGCTAACTGGGTACATTACCTACAAATGCTGAACAAGCTTAATCTACCATAAACAGCAGTCATGTGTTACATTTACATAGCTTTTGTCAGCCGTGCTTCAGGAAAACACATACAAATAGGGATCACTTCATCCTTCACTAAACCTAATCAATTTGGAATTCCTAAATGTTATACAGAGATGGTCTGTACAGCAAAGGGCAGAGCAGAACTTCACTGAAGTACATATGGAAAAAATACTTTAAGAAGGTCAGGCTTCAACACAAACTGAAATACATCCCAAATCAGAGAAGAGGCCCCTTATAAACAGGGTCATGTAAGTTTTACTGACTGCAAATAGTCAGGAGCTTTGATTTTCTGCTTCACTGCAGAGGGTCCACCAGCACATCTTATTT